CAGCTGGCGCAGCGGGTCGGGCAGCCCGTGTGCTTCGTGGGCCGCGTGGAGAAGGTACCGCCGCGACACCGCCCGCGGGCCCGTCGCGGGGCGGCCGCGGGACCCGTCGCGAGGCCGCTCTGTGTTGCAGGTGCACCCCAGCGGGAAGCTGCTCGTGCTCTCGGACGGCGAGGGGAAACACGCGACCGTGGAGCTGGGCGAGCCGGTGAGAGCGGGCGGCGCCGGGCAGCGCGGCCGGGCCCCCTGCGCTGGTTTGTTTCTGCCGCGTTGCTTCGTTTTCTCCTTTCTTTACTGCCTGTTTTTATATCCCAAACAAACTGTTGTAAGAATCCCCCCATCTTAATCATTCTTCCTGTTAAAAATGGCTAAGCAATTAAGCATATACACGTTCCCAGCATACGAATGCTGCAAAGAAGTCTCGGTTTCTGTGTTAGCACATCCCTCTGTTACCAGCAAAGGAATGAGACTCACGTTCTCTTATATCGTGCTTTTTTTCCAGCTCTCAGATAATGTGTATACATTATGCTGTGGTGGGAAATGCTGTGGTTTATCTGAGCATATCCATAGTGTTTCCACCCGTTTATGTGAGTGGGTTCTTAAGCACTGATAAATCTGCTGTTTCCTGAGAATTAATTCTGCCTGGACCTCACTGGCTTTCAGGGAAGGAACATCACCTTGTGGAAGGAAAATGCAGTTGGATCTGGCCAAGATTTCTGTTTTAAAAATGAGAAACTTGAGGTTTTCATCTTCGTCTTGAGGCAAAGATGATCTCCTGCAAGTTATCAAGTGCTTTTTGACTTTCTTATTTTGAGTGTTTCCTCTGTTTCTGTGTACAGCCTCTGCTTTCAACAGAAAAAGACAAAATTACATAGGCAGAAGGGAGATCCGTTCCAGTGTTCCAAGAAGCTTACTCAAAAAAAGCATTAGCCTTAGAAGGTTATTACAGAAATAGTATTACATTCTTAAAATGAGGAACTTAAACTTACACAAGTTGAATCTATATGTGGTAAGACATACTATTTATCTTTTTTCTTTCTTATTCAACCAAAGGCTCATTAATGCCCATGTCCTTGTCTTAAGCATGTGATGACAGATCACTGGAGAGACAGAGAAATATGCTCAGATCTCCTGGATTCCTCTGCTGCGCCCTTGAGTACTACTGCTATTCAGTGAATAAACATTCAGCTCTATCTACCCATTACAGGGTTACCTTCCTTCTGATGCTTCATGGGTTTTTTTGTTTCTCTGTTAGAATTGAAACGCCCGCTACAAAAACTGAACATGTTTTTCTGTGCAGAAAACACTGCACCTAACTCGGTGATGCTAATGGAATTTTTGGTATGTTCTCTAGCTAGATGAAGAGATTTCAGGAGTTATTGAAGTAGTGGGAAGAGTGACAAACCAGGCAACCATCATGTGTATGTCCTATGTTCAGTTCAGAGAAGATAAAAGTCCTTTTGGTAAGTAGGAATATACCTTTATAGCCAACCAGTATTGCACCTGATCTTGCTTTCTTCAAGAAGAGAGAGCCCGATAATCGTTTCTTCTGGATACTCTCTTTCTTCAAGCTGCCAGATATAGAGAAGAATGTAGGAATGGACACTACCATGGGAGAAATGATGCAACAACCAAAGCACTGCTAAATGCTAGAGATGGACTCAAAGCCTGAGCAGATCTGGGTCATGGCTGTGGTCCAGTCTTTCCTCTGCTCCCATATGGTGCTTCATCCTCCCTCAGCTTGCACTGGAGCTTGTTGGTTGCACAGTTGGCTCCCCCACAAAATGAAAATGTGGTGGGCTTGAGCAGAGCTGATTAGGGAGAGGGCTAGCTCTACTGCTCTAAAATAAGCAATGTTTTAATGCTCTTACTTGCTAATGGGGATTTTAACCTGTGCATCATAGCTGTTTTCTTTGCCCTCTTTCAGATTTGGAACTCTACAATGAAGCACTAAAAATTATTCATGAATTCCCTGAATACTTCCCATTTGGTCCTACGAGGAACAATTGATGCTTCTTAGTGTTTATTTGGAACTTCAGAGGGGACAGCTTGCTGTCAGAAAAGAAAGCGACAGCACTGATGAGTTGCAGAGACTTCCAAATAATATACTGAAAAGATGTTGTCAAATATGCCTTGTGTAGCCAGTGAAAAATGTTTTCATTGAAAATTAGTTTATTCAGAGGCAGAACACTTTCTAGTGAGTTTTTTGTAGACCTCATTCTTATTAGTGATTGTAGGATGCCTAGTAGGAAACTCCTATTGAAGTCCCTGAGGATTTAATGGAAAGGTATTTTTATAAACTATTTAATATAACTTCTATCTCTAGACCTCCTAAAAGTTTATTTTGCATTTTGCAGTGCAGTGGACAGAGGCCAATTAAAAAGTCCAAAGATGTTTAACCATTGGTGTCAGTATTGTATCTCAGAGTGCGACTTTCAGTGCTATGTGGTGATCCTGTTAGGTGAAATAACACCAAAGTTATTTAAGTCCAACACAGTGCAGCATACGGGCTACTTGCCCTTACTCTGATGTTAATGATGGTGGAAATGTCAGCTTGAAACCACACAGCTCCATCTATGTTGAGTTCCCAGCACAAATTCTGTTCTGGGTGGAAGCTTAAGCAGAAGCAGTGAGGGTTCAACAGTCACAGCTGACTCCATTAACCTTATAACCTTGCACAGAACTCTCTGCCTTGTTATTCTCCAAGATACTTGCAGTACATGACAGATCTGTTTAGGCAGCATAATGACAGTAAAAATCTAACTTCCTACATGTTCTCTGTGAGTTAATGAATAATGTTTCAAAACATTTCAAGTCATGTTAGTAACCCCCCTTGATAAACCTTTCATACAAACAGTTTTGGAGTTTTAAAATCTAGATATAGTGCCTTGTTAAGAGGGCTAGTTTTATGGTTAGCTAGGGAGAGACACTTTTTAAGTGATATCATCAGTCAAGGAGCATTTTACTTTTTTTTAAGACTCCTTTACTCATGTATCAAAGACACTGCAATCTACTAGAATATGGAGAAGGTAGTAGTGGATTAGTTCATCTATTCACAGCCAGCTGAATGATCATGTTGGATCATGGAGCAACTCTTGTTCTGCCAACTACAGCAAGAAGTTCCATGGTGGATGCGACCCTGCTTTGTGCTATATTGCTGTCACTGCTATAATGTAGGGCTTGACAGTGTTCAATTAAAACAACAACAACAAAAAGTTAATTTATAACTCTATACTCAAGGTAGGTGGTTGTAGGAGTCCTTTTGTACTCTTCATTTAGAAAATGGGTGTGTAGTTACTGTTAAACTGCATCTACCAAAAAAAAAACAAACAACAAAAATAACAAAAACAAACCTTGCATTAGAAATAGCCCTTTTTAAACAGCAGCTATGCAGTGTGTTTACCTAGTTCATGCATCTGAAAAATACTTTCATCTTGCTCCACAGTCCTCTGGTAACAATTTTATTTCATCATGCTAGAATATCTTCTTTTGTGTCAACACACTAATTTGGTTCGGAAATCTAGATTAACGCCATTTTTTAATCCAAACACACTACTTCATACTACACAGAATCAAGCGGATACTAAGAAATGATAAAATGTAAACATCACTGAATGAAAGGGCTGTAGGTAGAGTTATGGTTAAATGAACAAATCACATCTGCAAAACACAGTTTGGTAGTTTAAAAGCAAAGCAAGAAAAGAAATAATGATTAAAAGCACCTCTCTTTATACTTTCTGCAAAGAATGAAGTTGTATTCAAGGTTCCAGGCTAATAAACTACAATAGCCAAAGCCAGTACTTGAACAAGGTCAGACTATACACACCTTCATAATCCAAAATGTTTCAAAGGCACAATGACAATCAATGTATGCTTCTCATTTAATGAAATGAAAAAAAATGGCACAAAGGGGTACACTCAACTCTACAATGTTGTAACTTAGTTTTATATAAGAAAATGAGACATTGTAAGTTAGCTGCATTCAACTAGGCATTGAATTTCTCAGAAAAAGTGCTAATCATTGTTACAACAGAAGAATAGAAGCACAGACTTGGTGCTTACAAACCCTCTTTGCCATTAAATAAAAGTTTTGTTGCCCATATTTACATTGATAATAAAACCCCTGTTTACATTTATTAACAGAGGACATTTTAGATTGAGAAAGTGCTCTTAGCAGCTGCAACAAGACTGGAAAGAAAGAAATACTCTAACAAGCAAAAAACATTACTATGACAGTCTGACTTAAAATATCAAGTACCTCTTAGATTTGAGCTTAAGAAGATTCTTTGTCATTTGGCAAGAGTTTTAGAGTAAATGTAGCAGATATTTACAACATCAATATTAAATCAGAAAAAAAAGTCCCAAATGGTGCATCACCATGTACACCTACAGAAAAGAGTTTTGGTTTTTTTTTGCATTCTATTGTGTTACAACCACACTACATGCTTAGAACTAATGGTATATAACACTATATTCCCTTTTAAAACACCATTTTTTTTCAGTCCTGGCACCTTGGTACCAATTTATTGCTAGGATGCCACTTAGTATTTCTTAGCACACAAGTTTTAAGTAACTCATTTACTGTTCTACCAGTAAATAAACACACACCAAACAAACTGATGTTGTTATCACATACCTTAAAACAGATTTTTTTTTTCCTAATTTGTGTGAATTTTGTTGCCTACAAAAATCAAGGTCAACTGATTAGCTCCTAGCACAGCACTGGCAAGTATCATTAACTTTCTTATTAGCTAATAAGAAAAAAACAAATCTCACTTTCAGCTGTTAATATATCCACAACTGCTCTTAGTCAGTGACCTAAAGTTGTCTGACTTTTGGGGGAGCAAACTGGTGTTCACTAGTGACCTGAAGCAGATGTGCAAAAATACTCGAAAGACAAGTAAATAAGAAGGAAAAACCATGCTGGTTCATTTCACACTTCCCAGCATATTTCAGAAGCACAGGTAAATCCCAATATCCAGAAGTCCTTGATATTCAAATATCTTTGCTATTTGTTTGTAGTCAAAAATCACCATGTAGCTTAAAACTGAACATTTACAAGTCTCCAGTCTGTGAGATTTCAGATCTTCACAGCAGTATATTAAAAAACAGATTAATTAATTCAGTTAAAACCCCTGTCAGTCACCTGCCCTTTGCCCTGGCACATGGTTTTCAGAGAACTCTTCTCCAGGATGCAGATGTCTTGTTAGGGTGAATCCCCCCCAAACTGTTGAAGTCCATAAGGTAGGTACATAATGTTATTTTATAAGATCTCAAATTGCAAAGATGCTGCTTTACTATTAACAAAACTTGAGAGCAGAAAGAAATGGACTGTTCTTTAAAATTCAAGTCTTTAGAATACAGTTAGTAGTGGCACTTTGGATGACCTTAGAAGAAAATGACTGCATACAAGTATGGTCTATCAACGGCAGGAGGAATCCACGGCACGACTATGGGATCTTTGAAAGAACACTCTTCAGGTGTTTATTTTGAAGCTCCCTTTTCAATAAACACAGCATATAACCAGATCTTTTTGGAAAACAGATACAAAGGCACTACCCTGAGAGCTTTGTTAAAAGTGCTTTGAATTTTAGCAAAGCTTCAGGAGTGCTTTTGAGCTCAACTGCTTTAGCCTCCTGCAGAAAGCCCACACAACAACCCCAAAGCTCACAGCTCATCTCAGGAGTACCTATTCCTACCAAGCACAGTCATATACACAATATTAATCTGATAACAATTTATTTTTCCACAGTCAGAGAGCCACAAGCAACCTTCTAATATGCTTGGACTGTTACGGAAATCCATCAGAGCACCCCATATTTGCAAACTTAATATTTATGCTTGAACAGTCTCTGCTGGAATGAGATTCCCTGTTGTATCCAGCTGCATACACTTACACGAGCAGGCAGAAACTGGGCACTCAGTATGGTCCCTAAGAGGGGGAAAAAAGGAAAAAAAAATAGTAAAACAAAACAAGAATTTCGTAATCTGCAAATTCAAGCCTGTGTAGCAACACAGTAGTCTCAAAAAAAACCTCAAAAGCATAATCATATATTGCTAAAAAACAACGTACCTGAACCAGCTGAGCATATGCCCAGCATGTCCACCATGTCTGCAGTTGTGGCACCAGGTAAACCAGTTGTTGAACTGGGCTAACTTCTTGTCTTTGCTGAGATCCACTTTTTCATCAGACTTGGACCCTCCTGTATAGAGGCAAACACCCAATTCCAACAAATACATGCTTGTAAGTCACTACACGTCTTTGTATTTCAGTCTCAGTAACATTATTTGAATAAATTTGAAATCAGGAAAGCTGCAAACTTGTGTGAAAATAAAAGCAGAATTATATTGCTCAGCTCTTGTTTCATGCTTAACTTGCTTATTAAAAAGCTTTTACTTACAGAATCTCTTTCAAGAGTGAGTTAGAATTCAGTGATTGATTTTGGTTGCAGTGATTTATTGACCTGTTTTACTGCACACAAAGTGCTCTGCTTTAAAAATAAGCCAAACCAGTCCTCCCAAAATCTAAGTTATGAATTGAAACAATTACCATATAAAGGTCATGACACAGATTAATGAAAGAATGAAAAGATACAGAAGATATATGAACAGATGCAGCCGCACAGCGGATCATGGCTGTAACAACACAGACATATAAATATGGATAAGAGAAAGATTTAGATGTTCTATAATACGGAGACCAAGACATTTAAAACAAAGAGCTTCTACTTACAGTATTTCCTAGCTGTGATAGCATGCAGACATGCTCTTTTTTCATACTTAAAGAAAGCTTTGAAACCACAATAAATTTATTCTCTCCCTCTTTCAGTTGAGAATAGGTTACAGTCCAAGATTTCTGTACTTTCCCTAGAATTCATATAAAGACGACCCATTTCTGATGAGCTTTAAGACTCACAATACCAAACACTGCAACACTCAAATATTTTTGTCTGTCTACGCCATGGACAATCTCACTGAAGAAAAAAAAAAAAAAAAAAGAAAAAGAAAATGGTAACCACCTAGCATGCATACCAGAAAACAGACATAGGTTTCATCTCAGAGTTGGATGGGAAGTAAACAAGCTTTCAGTTATAGTCTCCCTCCTTCAAAACTAAGACCATGAATATTTACAAGATGGGTAGAAACACGGAGAAAGGGTAGAGTGGAAGATCTAGATGCCAAATTAGCAGTACCTGCTTCTGGATTAGCACCCCAGCTGCAAAACTGACAGGCGCTGCGTCCTACCTGGGCAGCTGGAGACGGGTGTTCCCATGTTTATCAGGCAGAGAGCGCAGCGAGGAAGGGGCTTGCGGCAGCCAGGACAGCTGGTAACCTTGGACTTGGTTGGGGAACCGCTCACTCCGTACTGGCTAAAGCCTCGTCCCTGGTGAGGGATAGCTGAACAGCTGTAAGAAATGGACTTCCCACAGAAATTGCAACTCACAAACACCTAAAGAGAACAAAAAACAATTAATGTTGTGGTTTTCTTTTTGTTTCATTTTGAGTAAGGTTATTCCAGGCAAGCTAATAAAAACCATATTCACCACGCTGTTAGTCATGAACTAATTTAAATAAGATTTTTTTTTTTTTTTTGCAATATTTAACCTCTATGCTACTGACTCTTTCTGAAAGAAAGGGGCATTAACTAACACCTTCTGCTTCCCTGCCATTAGCTCATGGCTATTTGGCCTTTTAGCATAATAGTTTGTATCCTACATCCTACAATGGCCAGAATTGGCCAGCTGGAGAAATGCAAGTACTAAAAAAAGCAAACACACTGCTACAGCTCTCTTCCTCCACTACCAGTGAATTGATGCCAGGCACAAACAGAAACACTCAGGTCTTCTATGTTTGTCCACACAGCTCCAGGAGGGGACAGTCCCAGCTGCTCTAGAGAGTGTGCTGGAAAGCTGAGGTCACTTAGTGAAGGTGATCCCAGCACCTCAGCTTGCAGACATGCAGACAGGGAGGCAGGCTTTCATCATACCCATTTACCACAAAAGCAAATAAAAGCATGTATAACTGCTAAGATTGGGAAAGGTATTATTTCAAATTATAAAAGGTTGCACGTGAAATAACAAAAGAAATAAATTTACTTACTGTACAATTAAAATCACTTTCTCAGTCCCTCCCTCTTTAAGCTGACCTGCTCAACTGACCCACTCTGCAGTCCCCAACACAAGGGCCTTCCTAAAATCTTTACCCGCACACTTACACTGCAAGCTGCAGCTGGATACTGTATAAAACACTTTAGAGGACACTTGTGTTAGCCACACAAAGCAGCAGAGGTAAACTCAGCTCCTCCCCGCTTGGAGTGGTATAGCTGGAGCTCTCCTTCAACAGCTGTGAGTAAGGTACAAATTAAAAACCTGCCTTTCCGAGCGACCCCGGGGTCGCTGAGGCTTGCAGGGCACCTACGTGACAGACACGAGAGAATGACAGAGGGAGGTCAGGCCATGGCATCTAAAAGTGCTGCCAGATGTTAAGCAGACAATATTTGGACGGGGATTCAGTTTCTGCTTTAGCTAATGTTCTGAACTGACGGTGAGAGTAGTTGTTGTTCCATTTCTGTTTAGACTTAAAAGCTTTGAAATAACTGTCGGGAATCAGTTTAGTAAAAGCAAAGACACTTTAGCTGGTTCATGGCTCAATTTCCTGATTTCAGCATCATCCTCTGCTCAGCTGGATAAATCTCTGATTTTGCTTTTCAACATGGCAGAAAAAGAAAAGCTTCCCCAGGAAAAAAAAAAAAAGTGCTAAAAAGTACAAGTTTCTCAAGGAGAAGATACTGTACAAGCAAAAGGTTGGGAGGGGCCCAACTCATGAAAGCCAAGGTGCAGATACAAATTTTCTACAGAAGTATCAGGCCTCTCTCCTTTCTGGACTGACCACACTTCATAAAAGAATCACATTTACCTGGGCTAAGGGTTTTGAACTGGGATCCAGCTTACTCCTATGTATATCAAATTCTGCACGTTTATGCCAAAATCTCCAAGCATCCAAGAGATTCCTGTAGTTCTCAATCCAATACTGAACCCTCTCATCCTTGAGTACATCTGACGGAGAACCCTGCAGCAGGTGGGAAAAAAAAATGCCAGACACACTAAACACTCACAATACAAATCACTCACTTTTGAAAAAGGTTTTACATGGCATACTGCAAAATAAGTATAATGCACTGGGAAAAAAAAGGTATTTTTTCTGCTGAACTACAGTTTAAGTTTGCTAAACTTAATTTTCTATTTTCCAAGTAAGTCTGCTTCTCTGGTTGAAAATACTTGTGCTGCCGCATCTTGCCACAAACTCTTCTCTGGCACACCAAGGATTATAAAATTCTATCACTTATCAGAGCACATATATATGTATATGATTATCATTGAAGTATGTTCTGAACCTACCAGGAAACACACCAATGATTTCCCAGTGCAGCTAGTGAAAAGTATTATTTTCCCCTTATCTCAAGATCTAACTAGAGAGTGAAGAGGTGTATTTGCAGCTTCAGCTAGTTCCACCAACCAGACACGACACTGCCACAATATATTTCCTACAATACTTTTTATACGAAAGTTTGTTTTGTTTCCTTACACAAAGACTTATTTTTTGAGAGAAACACTAACCTGCAGCATGCAATAGCTTGCGGTCTGGACATCTCCAGTTCTATCAACATAACTTTCCATCAAGTCCACTCCATCTTTTGTCAGCCCCGTTAGCAGTATTCCCTCCAAATTCCCAGCATCTTTCATTTCATTCGTCAGCTTTTCAATAAACCTATTCAGCTATTAAAAAAAAAAAAAATCCTTAACTTTTGCCTTCTGCTCACCCCTAACTTGCTTGTTTTGGCATGTGATAAGGTTGTCAATTATTTGAATAACCTCTTTTGCTAACTGAATATTCTATTTACTGAATGTTACACATAAAAATGAATACAGATTCACTATACTACAACAATGCAAATCTTTATCTAAATTCTTTAAGCCTCCTGATATGAAGTGGAAAGAGGGAGATCACCTACTCCTTAGGCACTTCAATGAATTTAAAAGAAAATGTTCAAACTTTAACTAAAGAGAAGGTAAAAATCTAGAAATAAATGTAAGTTTCACCAAACACATTGCAAAATCGGGACTAAATTGTGTTCAGGAATTTAATGCAAGCCACACAAGAAAGTATGACCAAGAAATAGGCTGTTACAAACTGTGACTCAATTTTAGTGGCGTCTTTCCCTGGGGGCCAGCCTCTTCACCACCATAGGACCTCAGTATATAAGATATGATCTCTGCATGGTATGTGGCAGAATCGAAAGTAAATTACTTCAAAATTTATAGCTCCCCCCCTCCCCTCCACACACACAATCTAATATTTTATACAATGAACAATATTGAATGTTTATCAAATGTATGTCAAAGTTAAGATAGCTAACAATTAAATTATTTGTAGTTACAAATAATCTCCAGGAAGACAAACACAGAGTTAATACAACATAATAATAAACTATAATGTCATTAGTAGTTTTCTATTTTTTTCTTTCTTTAAATTATGACAAAAATCAAACTGAAGGTAAAACTGAAGATCAGATTATACCGTAGTTTATTTCTTATTGTGAAGAGAAGTAAAAACCACTAAAGATTCCTGCTTCCACTGTTTACCCCCACCTCCGGAGTTCCTTAATGTGTGAGCAAAGCGGCAGTGCTCAGCAGCCGGCTCGGACGCGGAGCCGCAGCCTTACCTGGGCATCGCTGAGGAACTTGCAGGCAAATGCCACTCTGTCCCGCACAGCTACGTTGTTTTCATACTTGGGAGAAGAAAGGGGAATGCCACCATCACCCGCAACATTCCAGCCCGGCAGCGCATTGTCAAACTCACAACATGGGTCTTACTGTATAACTATACACTACAATTTTGATGATTTACAAAGAAAGTATCCTATCTCCGGAATGTTAATGCTAAGTACCAGCTGATTTATATAATATATATATATCTATACACAAGTAAAAATACATACATACATTATATATAATAAAAATATATTTTTTGATATGTTTTGCTTTTCTATAGCAATTTTTTTTTGCAAGTTTCACTTCAAAAAATGCAAAACTATTCTGTGTACCAATTATTTAAACAATAAAAACATTTTAACAAATAAATGAGAATAGGACAAAATTCAATGAAATGGTAGCTTAATAGAATTCTGTAAACTTCACTGTATATTTTGTTTACCTTTTTTTTTTTTCCCTCCTCTCTTTTCCATTATTAATTTCTCTCCCTTTACCAAGTAATTAAAGAGAGGAAAAAATGAACTTCTCGTGGTTTAGGAGTTCCAGGTTGAATTTTAACTGATTTATTATGTATGGAAAAAAAAAAAAAGGAAAAAAAGAAAAAAAAAAACTTTTATAGTTCCTCCAAAAATTGTACAATTTATATTTATATTTTGGCTTCTTCCATATCTTTTATTTAATTTAACATTCACTAATATATTTTCACGAATATTTTTTCTTCTGTTTAGAACTAGAAAACAAAAATAAAAAAAGAGGATTGGCCAGCATCATGGGAAAATAATATATTTTACTCTCATTATTTTATGGATTTCATGCATAGCATTTCCAGAAGGTAATACTGGTGTGCAAACACATTATTTAAAATAATTTTAACATAACAAAAAATTACTTACCAAAACACCATCATATGAACCTGACTCACTTGTCAGGAAAGCAAACATGGCACACAAGTAGGGATTGTTCAGCTGCAGTCTCAGACTGCTGCACATTTCTCTCCAAAGTGAGTTCTTCTCGTCTGTGTAGCCTGATAGAGCCATTGCTACTACATTAAGGTTCAGATCACCTGAATTATTAAAAACAATTAACGAAATAATGTGCAAGGTTAGGACTTAAAAATCTACTTAAAAATAACTGAAAGCGTCCTTTTAAAATGGAATGCTTAATGAAAATGTAAGACCAAACGATGTACAATTATCACTAAACCAATATATCTGCATACCCTTGCATTTTTTAAGTTTCTGCTTTAAATGCGTTTGTTCAGCTAAACTACCCAACCTCAACCTTTTTTTTTTTTTTCCCCTCCTCTCTTTTCCATTATTAATTTCTCTCCCTTTACCAAGTAATTAAAGAGAGGAAAAAATGAACTTCTCGTGGTTCAAAACAAGCATGATAACCCACCTGGGCCTGCAGCAGCACCACGCTGGTTCTGCTATTTTGGAACAGTTTTCAACTGCTCTATGCAACACTGCTGCTATAAGAAACACTGTCATTACCATAACTCACATCCACAGGGAAACACAGGATTGTAGGGATCGCCATTGCTTAACAGAGCTGGCTGGAGCACGACAATTGAATTTTATAACAGCTCTACGATTATATATTTCTTAAAAACATTAAAGTCTATTTCATCTATATATTCATTTTGTCAGAAAAGTTCAGGGGTCTTTTTTCTTTTTAAGTTCAGAGCTGAGCAGCATTCAGACTTCTGAGCCTTTCCTATGTAAGGCACAGACACACACATATAGCCCCCATCCCCCAAATATGTACCTGCCCATCTATAATATTTTTTGTTGTGGTGCCAAGACAGGCTTTTATAAGAGAACACAGATGCAAATCAGAATGACAGAAGCAATACTGCCCCCCCCAAAAAAAAACACCCACACTTTTAGTTGCCAGCTCTAAAAGTACAAGCTTTTCTTTCATACATTGTAATTCTGCCCAAATAATACTCCAAAACAAATGTTTTCTGCAAATCCTGAATATTTCAGTTATTGCAGTTACAGTAGGGGCATAAAGTAGAACCTGGCTGAATAGAAAGAGATATGCACAACATCTAACTCAAGAGCATGTCATTAAAAGACTGAAAAAAAAAATCCCACTAGTCTCAAGTGTAGCTTTTGAGGGCATGTACCCGTAGGAAATTCTACAACATACAATCCATTTTAACTAGTAAGTACGGCATACAACAGCCTCAGTTTAAAAATGCAATAAAGAATGTAGTCAAAGAGCAGCATTCACCAAATTCTCAGGCTTCGACTCAACCACTGCCGAACTCAAGCTGGTGTCTTGTAAGACTGAAGGTCTTACTGCTTCATACTGCCTTACAGATTTGTGTTTACAGAGAAATCAACGACAATGATGGGTAACTCCAAAATAAAAGATGCACTGTACATACCTTTTCCTGAGGAAGCACCTTTATTTAGGATTTGTATTGCTCGCCGTATGTCTAAGTTGAAAAGTGCTACAGCAGCAGCACGCTCCCAGTCTCCTTCTTGTTCCAAAGAATTCAAAAATGGTTCCACATCTAAGTCTGTTCCCTTCTTGATCCACCCACAGAGCTGCAAAGCCAAGGATCTCTCCTCACTGAGATACTGAATAATATCTGCCTGTCTATCAGATCCACTTCTGCTGTGTCTGAGGTTCTCTGTTGTTCCTAAAAAGAGGAAATAATTTAAATCATGATTCAAATAAAAATTTAAAATTGTTACATTTTGATTTCAATAGTATATAACAGAGTACAAATCTCAGCATCATGTTTTATTACTTTCACAATTCCTTACCTCACTGGTAAGGAGTAGCATACCTAAGAGTTTATTTTGATCTGCTAGAAATAACACATCTAAACACACTATTTCCCACTAAGTCTCTTTCTCTAAACCTTAAGATTTTGGATGTTCCTGTTAAAATAAATTGATACAGGTGACCAGTGTGTTGAACTTGAAAATATGTAATACGCAATAAAGCATGTGCTGCACTGGGTCTCTTATTCTCAGCAGGCACAAACAGGGTAAGAGCTTCTCCAGCACCAAAGAGTTTTTTACTTCAAGAAGCATACATATTAATAAAGCATAGAATGAATTTGAGGAGAAAAAAAAAATCATATAGTAGGTTAGACTAATAAATACATCACTGAGTACAAGAGGCATAACATGATGCAGAAGGGGCAATTACAACTTTGAAATAAGATAATGTATTTAAACGGTTGCATAAATGCATTTATTACATTAGCACTAACTACAGTAAAGACAGTTTTCTAGAACTACATCCTTATGTAGAACCAGAAACAAAATGTTTTAGTATTGGAGGTAAATCTTTAACTGCGCAATTTTCAGACATTTGTGTTTTGACTATAACACCGAAAATGCTGGTTTCTCCCACAACAATTTGCTTTATTTTTCTATCACTGACTTTCAAAGAATACAAAAATTCTGGAAATAATGGCAATAGATCGTCACTGACTAAAGTTCAGTTTTTATATATATATGTATATATATGAAAGAAAAATCACAAACAAGAATATTTTGTTTATATTTTTTTATACAGCCCCTTCTAATAATCCTTGCAAAAGAACCCACAAGCACCATCACAATGTAAATATGCTATAACGTATTAAAGTTGGAACATTCTTACCCAAAGATGACTTCACAATTGACTTAATGCCAGCATAAACTAAGGGACCTTTGTTTCCTGTAAGTTTTTGATCCATATCTTCAGTATACTGCTTCATAAGTATTTCCATGTATAGGAAGCTTAAATTTTCCCAAGCATTTGGAAAACATTTTTTAAGCTAAAATGTCAGGCTAACATACACAAAGTATTCACATGACATTAAGACTTGCATTTCACATAATTGGTTTAAATGTAAAGATATATTATTTCTTTATAAGTAACACCATAAAGTTACACAGTAAAACAAAGGATATAATGCAGAGTGTACCAAAGTGATTTCAGCTGAGGATCCTCATTTCCAGCTAGCAGGTGGTTTCTCCAAACCTGTTCAGTATCAAGACCGTACCTTGACAGAGCTCTGAGTCGCATTTTGGTAGCGATGTCTTTTTCCAAGGAACTGGCCTTCCCTTCTTCTGTACATTCATACAAGTGTCGCCCACAAGCCCACATTAAGGACGTCACCGGGCTCCACGCGAGAGAAATCCTCTCGAAAACGGTGAAGTCAGACATGGTCCTGTTGGGAGTCACCACCACCATGCGATTCTGACTCGTGGGATGCCAGGCGAAGGAAGCAATGTAGTTTTCACAAGGCTGGACACTCCTTTCAATTATGGTAGGCTCCGTTTCATCCCCAATGGGCGTAGGAGTATGCTGCATGTCATACAGCCTGATGATGTTGCTATCTCTTGTTAAAGTAGCCAACAGGCCAGTTCTTGTTGGACACCAGGCTACTTTTGTTAGAGGTTTTGGTTGCTCTGTCAAGGTCAGCACAGGCTTCTCAAACTTTCTTAAATCCCATATGGCAACCTGGCCTTCATAAAAAGAAGCTACCCGATCATGGAAATAGGGATCAACAGTCACCCCCTGAACAGCCTTGGTGTTCACAAATATTTTTTGGCTTGTGTTCCTTAGGTCAAAAATAGCAAGATTTCGGTGCATTCCAGCTAACAGAAGCTTCTGATCCCGCGGAAGCCAACAGAGAGAGAGGCAAGCGTCGTTCTGGCCCAGCTCGTACAGCGGCTTGGTCACCACAAGGCCACCCTCCAGGTCCCCTGCTGAAAGCCTCACCTTCTCCGTGGCAACCGCAGTCTCAGTGGCATATTTGCTGCTGATGTCCCAGATGAGCACCGAGAAGTCGGCGCGGTGCTTATCCAGCCCGGCAGCGAGCCAGTTGCTGTCCAGGGGGTTCCACGCCAGGGTATTGCACTGCCGCGCGTGCTTGGGCACAAACTCCTTGCCTATCAGATCTTTCGATTTCGAGTTGTGGTCTTGGCCGAGGCTCGTAAGCACCACGCGCCCGTTGGCCTGGCCGACGGCGAGAAGGCACTCAGGGTCGTACTTGGGGTACCAGGCCACGCATTTCATGTACGGCGTGTCCGAGTTGATGGAGAGCAGCGTCGCCGTGGTCTCCTCCGAGAGGCGCAGGGAGCCCGCCTTCAGCTCCGAGCTCACCGCCGACTCGATGTGGTACAGGCTTAACTCCGAGTCACACACCACGAAACGGTCAACGTGGTGCGGGGCCCAGAGAATGTCGGGCTTGGAGCCACTCATAGTTAGGGTGCGTTCACGAGCAACTTAAAACTCTTGGGGGAGGACTCGGGTGATACCCATTCAAATGGGAGCTGCAGGGAAGATAATTGGTACCAATATTACAAATCTCCTTTCTAACCCAAGATCCCAGCTGAATAAAGAACAGCACATATCTGGATTATTTTACATAAAGGTTTAACAAACCTTAAGCACTCTCCATATCACATCACTTTCTCCACGGCATGTTTTGCTCTCGCTGGAACACACCTTCCGAGATAAGCGCCAACGGGGCCATCTACAAAATAACGACGGGATTTACTGTTTACAAACCCCATGTGGGCACTACTTCATTATTATACTAGCAAGAAAGGATCAGCTGAAATGGTTCCCACTCTGGTGGCACCCGCTGCCACAGCACCAGCTGCCTGGACTCACTGCGTGCGCCTCCGCACAAACAAAGGCCCCCCAGAACCCCGGAACCTTCCCCCAAACTTGGGGAAAATAAAAGAGATCCGGTAGATGGGAAAAGCATAAAAACGCAGCGCTCCTTCCCCCTCCCTCGGGCCCGCCCACGCGGGCCTCTGCCCGCCCGCCCGGAGCGCGGCCGCC